TGATGACGACATACGAGAAACAAGAAAGCCAAAGAAATTAATACAAGAATCTTGAATGGCAAAAAGTGTAGATGGCTGCGGGAATCTGGATCAGAGACCTAGTTGTCCAAGTTTGTACTCCATGACTCTTTATTTGCTTAGGACATGGTAGCAACTTAATTTCTACAACAATGGATCGTATGGATATGGCTGGAAAAACGTCTTGTACTCGCCTGTACATGTCAAGACAGGTTCCCGACCCGATTGCAAGCCTTGTATTGTGCATGTGGCTTGATTGATTACACGAATACCTCATGCCTTGCAAAGTGAACCCACATGCATTTACAGGCCCTGAACCTGTGTTCCCATGTGAAGTGAACTCAGATACTTATTGCAATCATTGAAACAGCATAGTGGTTAAAGCTATGTTAAGCTCAAAATTCTACTCATTTAACTTGCGGCTGGTAGGTGCACTCTTAAGCATAGGAGATCGTTGGGATCTCCAAATGTCCCTACCTCCCGCCAAAACCACCTTCACAGCATGATATTGCCACGGTTAATAATACAATAGTCGATAGTGTACAGAATAAATTCTAAAGACCACCCATTGTAGAGTCCAAATACTTTATTCGTTGGGTCATGTCATGTTCTTCCGAGTTATTTTGTGGCAATTGACCTCCAACCGACGTAGTGACTAGGAGGGGAAGAAAAACAAGTCTCGAGTGGAGAGTAGGCTTCGGTAGCTGCCTTGATGTAAACTGTACCAGCAGGCAAGTCTGTTTATATTCTGTCAAGTAGCAATTCCTATTTGCATAATGGATGCCCTGCCTTTTTTTACCAAGACCCTCAGATTCTGCAGTCCCTTCGATACTTAGTCGCCGCCGATACAGATTTTTAGAATCTTTATGAATGAGTGTTTCAATTTTATCGCACAGGTTTCCTAATTTAAGATGTCGACTTCGTTCTCAGCTGCGTTGCTCTAAACTCAATTTGGCACCAGCTGCTTCCGGAGCATAACGGCTTATTTTGGATGTGTGCTTAGCTGAGAGCTGATCGACAAAGCCGTTGTGGATCGGGCTGTTTAGTTGGCCAGAAGCCTTGTTCATACAAGAGTCTAGCTGAGCATGCTACCAAGAATAGCAACTGCGCAGGGTTGGCTCGGGGGCAATTACCAAGGGCTGCGGAGGATTCAAGTCTGCATCATGTGCCCAACATGCCTGTTGTTCAACATCGTGCCAGTTTCCGCGGCCTTGCATGCCCAACAGGTCGTCTCCTAAAATACATATTTAAAGCCCCCCCCTCCTTTTCCTCATATAAAGCTTATCAGAGACACCCGCTCCTTTTTCAATTCATAGCTCACACGACAAAATGAAAGTATCCACGCTGTTGCTGCTTTCCGCCAGCACACTGGCTATATGCCAAAGCCCTAGTAGCTGCAAAGGTGGTGGCAAGCGAAACGGCGCCGACTTTGTCCTTGTTGATCAAGGCATAAACGCGCATCTTGGCCCGCTTTCCAAAGTGTTCGCCAATGCCAACAAGCAGGTTAACGTTTCCAAAGTCTTCGACGATGGAAACCACCAGATGAGTGGCGCGGCAACCCAGCTCAGCTGGGAGAAAACAAAAGACTTCAACGATGTTGATACGAAGAAGTGGTATCCGCAAGGTATTTCTTCAACCGCCGATGCCGCCGAGGTTGGAACCTACGATGGCAAGGACGGCTGGCTGGTCAGCTGGTACAGCGACGAGAGTCACCAAGTGCGCATCTCCTTTGTGAATAAAGCCACCAAGAAGTACCGCCATGCATTGCTGGTTAATCCTTCGGCCGACGACGACTTTCAAGGCGTGGGCATTCACGCAGGCGGCATTATGTGGTATGGCGATACTCTCTGGGTAGTCGACACCTCCAATGGCATTCGTGTTTTCGACATGACCAACGTCTGGGAGGTTGGGTCTGGTGACAAAGTCGGCAAGATCAGCGCTGGGAAGTACTCCGCAGCGGGATATAAATATGTCATTCCTCAGATCAGGTTCGAAACCCACGCTTAGATACGTGAATACACGAGTAATCTAACTACAGTATGCAGGTGGTATAAATGGACGCCTTCTTTCCCCTTCCGATTCTCTTATATTTCTCTGGACCGCACTGCCTCTCCCGATCGTCTCATGGTTGGAGAGTATCAGCCCGACGAGAAGAACCCCATCCGCATGGTGCAGTTTGAGCTCGACTATACCACTCGTATCTTGAGGACTGGAGCGGACAAGAAGACGGCTAAGGGCGTCTGGGCATTCTGCCATGACATCCTGCGCACTCAGGGTGCCGTGCAAGCCAATGGCAGAATCTACGTATCTCGAAGTAATGGCGCCAATACGAATGGCGACATTTGGGGATGGATTCCAGGAAAGGGAGCCGCAATCAATAAAGGCATGGTCCCTCCCGGGCCCGAAGATTTGAGTTACGACAAGAGAGGTAAAAAGATGTACACTGTGACTGAGCATCCGGGCAAGAGATATCTTGTTACTTTGGATTCAACCAGGGTTAAATTTCCATAAATGTCACCGACAAAGTACAAGAGCAAATGGAAGCTTCATCTGCCACCCCTGGTTCAGTTTTCTGTGCATATATGCGATTCTACCAGTTCACCTATCTGCCAAGTGCTAGTCAGATATTCTAGCAGAGAAGCAAGTACAAGAAGCAATTTTCATTTGAGACTTTTGTATGTCTTTACAATCAATGCCTTGGCAAACCGCGTGTGACTAGTCGGCTATTCGAATGCCCAACGACGCGCTCAACCACCTCTTATACGCATCATTGTGAAGTATTCTCAACGGTAAAATTTTACACATGATGCAAGAATTCAAGCCAAAATACCATACGTGTCATTCTTTCTATATGCAATCTCTCTCTTCTATACTCTAACAATGCCGTTGTTGAATCAAGGAACCGTGCTCTTGCCAGACTTCTTCGAGGCCCTCCCACCAAAACCCCATCCAATCTGATGAGCGACATGGATAGTGACGCCCAACTCATCCGCCCAGGACCACACCAATCCCGGATTCTTCAGAAACATGCGACCAGCGGCAATCAAATCCAGAGGCGTATCGTCCTTGTCTTTGCCGCCCTCGATGATATCCCGGGCAACCTCTCCCGTCTTGATGCTCCCCACAGAACTCACCAACATGGCATCCCCGACAGCCGCCTTGATGGCCTTTGCAAAAGGGGCCTGGTAGCCCGGTCCGCCAATCACCTTCTGGTGGCTATGGTTGCCGCCGCTAGACACGTCCAAGACGTCGACGCCTCGCTCGGCAAACAGCTTGGCCAGCTTGACGCTCTCGTCGACTGTCCAGCTCGCGCCCCCGTCCCAGTTGGGGTTCGTGTCGAGCCAGTCCGTCGCGCTGATGCGCGCGAACAAGGGCATGTCCTTGGGAATCGCGGCCCGCGCCGCTTCGACAAGCTCGAGGGCCAGCCGAGTGCGGTTCTCGAAGCTCCCGCCGTATTGATCCGTGCGCTTGTTCACCGCCGGCGACAGGAAGCTCGATACGAGATAGCCGTGGGCAAAGTGAAGTTCGATGACGTCGAAGCCGGCGCGGACGGCGCGGCGCACGGCCGAGAGAAAGTCGCGCTTGAACTGGTCAATCTCGGCCAGGCTCATGGCCCGCGGCGTCGGATAGTGCTCTGCAAAGGGGGCGTCGCTGGGCCCGACGACGTCCGACGGCCAGCCTCCGACCTCGTCGGTGGCGGTTGCGCCGGGGCCGAGCCCAGCGGGGGTGAGCAAGGGCGCCACCGTCGAGGCCTTTCGGCCGGCGTGGGCCAGTTGGATGCCGATGAGGGCGTTTTGGCTGTGCGCAAAGTCGACGTGTTTCTTGAGCGTGTCCACGTGGGCGTCGAGCCAGATTCCCGAATCTTCTGGGGTGATGCGTCCGTTTGGCTGGACAGAAGTGGCCTCGATCATCATGAGGCCGGGCTGTACCGTGTGTCAGCCTTGCGCAACGACAAACAGGATGGGGAGAACAAGGGACTTACGCCTCGCTGAATCATGCCGCCATAGTGGGTAATATGCCAAGGCGTGTGAAAACCCTCGTGGGCGCTGTATTGGCACATGGGGCTCATCCAAATTCGATTTGGCATCGTGATGCCTCGGATTTTGAGTGGTGTAAAGAGCTTGGGTATGGGTTTACCAGATGGTTGGGGATCTACGGCGCTGCCAGCGACCGGGTCCTGCTCTGGCGTGAAGAACGGGACGCCTTTGGCAGCGACGTTGGGAATAGGAGCAAGGCATTTGGCAGTTTTCTCGGGGGCTGGGGTTTCGGACCGCGAGACGGGGATACCGTGATGAGGGTGCGAGATGCGCTGCGTGAGATATGCTGCCATGATGTAATCGACACACGGAACCAACCAACTCGGGCTGGGGGGTCACAGAATAAGGAGTCTTTGGTGTTGTGTTGCGGAATAGGAGTTGATGTCGTCTGATGGCCAAGGTAGTGTTATGACGAGGTGGCAGGCTGCTCCCTTTATACATGAACAGTCCTGCATTCGTCTCCCATCTCGCAAGGGCTGCTCATTGCGTTTGACGCAATGGTCCCTTCAAGGTTTCCTAGACTTGATTTCTCAGCAGTGAGTTTGGGTCATGTCGTGTAAGTAGGCTTGACTGCGGCCGTAATTGGTGCGATCCGGAATCGATGGTGTCAAAAGGCGGGACGGTGGATCCTTGGAGTTCCCACGGCGTCGCCATCTTCGGCATTTTCGGTGTCGTGCCGAGCCCTCGACCTGGCCGAGATGCAGAATGCGCCGGCAAGACTCGGCTGTACCCGAGAAAAGTGGCACTGGGAGATGAACCTGGTGCGGAGGCGTAAGCTGAACCGCAACCGGGATTGGAGGCGGTAGACACTTGAGTCTTGACTCTTGGTAAGATCATGGTTACAAATCTGCTTCAGCTCAAGCCGGACCAAGACTGTTGTATCGACACTATTGGTAATACCCTGTTTCCAAAGCACTCGCTGTTTTCTCGGCATCAAGTCCACCATCAGCTCATGGGCTCCAAAACCTGGCGCACTCGTCGTATGTCCTCTGCTTCCTCTTCCCAGAAACGTAGGTGTGCTAAACAAATCCCCAGCATATCTTGGACTTGCTGCTCAAGCCCCATTTTGGATACAAGCCCGATTTTCCTGGCACAAATTAGTATCAGCACGCGAGACGCCGATTCCCGACAACGAAACCAGGAGCCAGCATGCCGGTGCTGTAGCCCAAGCGTATGGAGAGGATTCAGACTGAGCACTACGGCCTTGTCGGCAAATTGTTTCAGGGCGTCTGCCAACGGCCAGTCGTGGCCTTGTTGTAAAGCCAGGCGGTACAGGAACGGCCGATACATGCGCAACCTGACCGAGGTGCAATGCAGCCACGTAGCCAGCTGCAACTCCGTTACTGTCGACAGGGAAACTGGCTCACCAAAGCACGAGATGGAAGAGGGCAGAGTGTGCTGCCATTGTAGCAACTGCTTCTCCAGGTCCCATGCTGTATTGGCCATGTCGAGGAGATTCATACTCGCCCACAGCGAAGGGGGTTTGGTGTAGAACTCGTCGTCTACCCGGCTAGAGATGCGGAGCAGCGCAATGTTTGAGAGGTAGGAAAACCACGAGTGCTCGTGCAGCGTTTTGAAGTCTTGTTTTTCCGCCGCATCGTCGACGGATAACAAGGCAGTTGGGGCCAACATGCCGACTGCACCCATGTCGTGGGTGTCGTGTAAGCCATCGACACTCTTGGGCGTTGGCGGCGACGGAAATAGGTACGGATACTCCATCTTGCCCAACTCGGATCTGGGCAAGTCTACCTCGGTGCAGATTTCGCTGCTCATCGTCAGCAAACATGGATGCCGCCGGCGCTCTATAGTGTCGAGTGTTTTCTACGAACCTCTCCGACTTGATGCAGCTCCAGTACAGTCTCTGTTCTAGACAACACCGCAGCTTCTCACCAGAGCAGCTCTCATCTCCAATCAGAGCATCATCGTGATAGTGTCCCGGTCCAATCTGCTGCGCTGCCGCTCGGCTTTTCAGGTACACTGTATATAAAGAAGAGGCGTGGAAGAATGCCTGCCAGGCTTGTACCGGCCGGAGAGTATACAGCAGGTAAATGCCGTTCAGAAAATGGCATTGGCAGGCTGTCAGACTCCCTCCAATCATCCCTATACGTCTGAGCGCATACTGGTAGTATAGCTCAGCTTGTTGCCGCGATTTCTCGTCGTCCCCCGATACGGAGCGCGAAGCTGATTCCAAGGGCTCTAGTCTCGTTTCCAAGGGTTTGGCAATAGAGCCCAGGGCCATGGCCAGGAGCTTTTCAAAAGGAAAGGATCCAAAATCAGCGACGTTCAGTTTAATGAGGGGAAAGGATGCGGGCGCAAATTATATACCACAAGGCATGTTTTCGCATCCCACTGCAGACCAAGCTCTGCAACGACTCGCCCGTGGTGCATCAAGGTCGTACAGTCCAGTATGGGATTCATGACGTGGACGAGCCTTAGAAATCGCGTCAACAATTGAGCAACCTCACCGCTGTCAAACAAGGGTAGCCCCAGCCCTGAGCTCGCCAGCTGGTCTGGTTCGTGAAAGTGGTTAGTAGCCAGAATGTTAGTTTCGGCTGAGCATTCTCCTAGACTGGAGCAAAATATCGGCCATTGAAACATGTAGTCTAATGTAGTAAACGTGGCAGACGTGCCGACAGATGATTGATTGGAGGCATGGTTCTGACACGTCTCGGCGGTTGGCGGCAGTCGCCTGAGTATTTCCTGGAGAGTGCTCGCAATTCCATTGCTACTCTGGTTATTGCTTGATGAGATTCAGTATGATGAAATTGTTTTTTTTTTTCGTCTCATCTCATTTATTATTTGGGTTCCGGGCAAATACTCACGGCTGGGTTTCGTATGGTACTGCCGGCACGGGGTAAACACATTCGCAACCAAGTCTGACGCATCCAGCACACGTCGGACGCTCATTAGAGCACTTGACCTTTCGAGCTCGACACACGCGGCAGGCCATGGGAGCACGCCTGGGAGCATCGCCCGTGGCACCGTCCTGGGTGGCATTTTCTGCCAACAATGCACGCCTTGGTCGTTTCGGCGTTGTGGATCCACGCACGGAGGATGCCCGGCGCGTGGTGGACATTTCAGTAGCTGGATTCGAGTTTCGGGATGTTGCCGAAATGGATACTTGATGTTGTGATGGAGTAGAGCAGAGGATTTCCAAGGTCAAAAGCCATCTCGGCATCGTTGCCGATGTATCCGAATTAGTCATCCACAACTTGCTCTGGTCATCTAGCCTCATGGCCATTGACGAGCAGATCAGCTGTTGCCCCACTTACCCTAGGTCTTTTGCAAAGACTGGAAAACATTCAAAGTAATAGCTTGAGGTGACGGCACGGACCGACAGAAACGATGCAGCGGAATCTGTCAAGTCAATATCTTCTGTTGCAATGAGGTCTACAATCCAGTGCAGTTACAGTGTTGATGTGTCACAGAAAACCACGAGTCTGGTTCTCCCAATACAGAGGTCCCACGCTAATTCAACACCTCATACAACACCACACGGTAGGGTTAGGGCAACATCACGATCAATTCTATGTACTCCGAAGGGTTCGGGTCATGAAAAATACGACGGCGGAGATGCGTTCAAATACTTGTCGCTCCCCCGGTACCAGTCCGACAAGGCCATGAGATCGAGCCTGGTGCTTAGCCACAAAGTTGCGACGGCAATACTACTACGTAACAACATACGGAGTACGGCCGGTGAGATTCAGCCTTAGTGGTGGATCCTCTGATAAAGGGCATTCCAAGCCAGTGGGTTGGACACGCGAATATTACACCGGCACTACTGTAGTAATGGGGCTGCGCATGGTTCACCGACGGCACCAAGTGTGTTGCTTACGGAACGCACGGCAAGTCGGGGAACAACGAAAGCTTGGCTTCAATGTTGGGAAGCCTCTGTGTATGAGAAGCGAAACAATGAAACAGCATCCGTAGCTGACGTGTGATTCGTGTTGAGACTTGTTTGCTTCTTGTCTGCTTCTTGTCTGCTCCATGTTGGTGCATGTGTAAGGACTGAAACACGTCTCAGGGGCCACAAGGGCGGCTCATTCATAACGGCAAGGTGTAGACCGGACAGGTCATTCATGTACAAAAGAAAAGACGCGACGCATCGGCCAAAGGCCTTTCCTTGTTGGAACAAAAGAAGTCCGGTACGGTTGTGCTGGCGCTTCCACCCGCGCCAAACCACCGCCCCGGCGTAGTCGGGCACCAATATCTCAAGCATCCATGTCAGTAGAATTTCCTCTTTCGGGCATATTCATGCAGGGTCCTCCATTGACGGGCAACCGAAGGGTCCGACACAAGGCCAAACGCCACGGCTGCGCCATCCCATCGCCCGCCCGTCGAGCCATTCAACTGGTGCTTCACACTCCACAGCGTCTTACACGCAGATGCTGCGCCCTGTTGGCTGAATCCCAAATGAACATTGCGTCGCCCGTTTCGGTCTCTTGCGGAATTGGCCGAGTCGGTCCAATATCCGAGGGGTCCGCGAGCATGGCGAGGTCGTATATCAGTTTGGGCTTCCCTGCCCCTACGAGTGTTTGCAGCGCCTACTCGATACTCTTGCCTTGTCGTTTTGTACTTGTTGTTGCTGCAGCTTCATTTTTGTTTTTTTGCCGTTGTTGTTTTCAACAGCTTCTGCCCGGCACGCAAAGCCGTTTCATATTTGTCCCTGCTGGGCCTTCAGGCTTGGAGGCCTTGCTCCCTCAGGACAGTTGGTCGGGAAATCTGGACTCGACAACCCGGCAATGCATCATCCGACAGTGATTCTCGCGGCAGCGTCTGCCCTCTCGGGAATCACACCGCCATGGCTTGCCCATGCCGCTGCCGTCTACCCAGGAAGCGGCCCTCCTCAGGCGTGTAAGTTGAATGTCACCACATGTGGCACAACGGCCTCGACGAATGCACCTCGTTGACCAAAGTTAGTTTCCTTGGTGGAACGGGCAACACCTCAGGCCCCGGACGGATATGCGCCAGCAGCAGTCGACTGCCCGAGCACCAGACCAGAGATCCGTATCGGATCTTCTCTCAGTCCCCAGGAGAAGGAGTGGCTCCCTAGACGGCGAACCGAGACCATATCCCACATCCGGGACTTTCTTCAAAGAAATGCGATACCGGGATTTGACAGCGAGAAATACTTGAGCGGAGCCACGGCTAATTCAACTGCTCTGCCCAACATCGGCATCGCGGTTTCTGGCGGCGGTTATCGCGCCATGCTGAATGGCGCTGGGGCTGTCGCAGCGTTCGACAGCAGATCTCCGGGCAGCACCTCAAAGGGCAATATCGGAGGTCTCCTGCAAAGTGCGACGTACATCTCGGGCTTGTCCGGGGGAGGCTGGCTTGTTGGTAGTATCTATACCAACAACTTTACTACCGTGCAAAATGCAGTCAACTCGGGGACCATCTGGCAATTTGGACAATCCATCTTGGAAGGCGAGTATTGCTGCACCTTGAAGATGCCCGAGACATGCTGACCGTTTTGCAAAGGCCCCAAGGGTTTCAAAGACTACTACAAGACCGTTTTTGACGAGGCTGATAAAAAGCACGACGCTGGATTCAACAGATCGATAACTGACTACTGGGGCCGAATGTTGTCGTTCCAACTCGTCAACGCCGAGGGTGGTGGTCCAAGCTATACCTTTTCATCCATTGCCGACGACTCGGACTTTTCTGCTGCAAAAGCGCCGCTCCCGTTCCTTGTTGCAGATAGTCGTGCTCCGGGGGAGAAGAACACCACAATTGATGACGCCTTGTTCGAATTCAACCCGTGGGAACTTGGCTCGACAGACCCTTCGCTCAATGGGTTTGTCCCCCTCAAGTACGTGGGCTCCAAGTTCAACAACGGCAAGCTGCCCGATTCCGAAAAGTGCATTGCTGGCTTTGACAACGTTGGCTTTGTCATGGGCACATCCAGCAGTCTCTTCAACCAGATTATTCTTCGACTCAAGGATTCAAATGGAAGCAAATACATTCCAGCAGACGTGCCCAAGTTCGTTGTCAAGATTATTCTCGAAATACTAACGGCTCTCGGAGACGCCGACGACGACATTGCCGACTGGACGCCGAATCCGTTCAAGGGCTGGAACAAGGCCGTCAACAAGGCCGCCACGTCGGATCGTCTTACGCTCGTGGACGGCGGCGAGGACGGGCAAAACGTCCCGTACCATCCGCATCTCCTTCTAGAGCGCAAAGTCGACGTCGTCTTCTCGGTCGACTCGTCCGCCGACACGAATGCATGGCCCGACGGCGCCGCGCCCATGAGGACGTACGAGCGCTCCCTCAGTCCCGTCTCCAACGGCACGAGCTTCCCCGTCGTGCCTGGCCGCAACTCGTTTATCAACCTCGGCCTCAATACCAAGCCGACATTCTTTGGCTGCAACGCTACCAATACGACGAATACCGCGCCGCTCATTGTCTATCTGCCTAACTACCCCTACCAGTTCCACTCCAACATTTCTACCTTTTCGCTGAGCGTCAATAACAGCGAGCGCGATGCCATGATTACGAATGGCTGGGCCGTGGCGACGCAACTCAACGGCACGCGGGATGCAGATTGGCCGACTTGTGTGAGTTGCGCCATGCTGCAGCGCAGCTTTGAGCGGACAAAAACGCCCGTCCCGGACAAGTGCAACCAGTGCTTCTCGCGGTACTGCTGGAATGGCACGATAGATGAACGGCCCCCTGCCAAGATGTACGAGCCGCAGCTGTACGGGACCGCCGTAGATGTCAAGGGGACATCGAAGAGTGCTGGTCTGCGGCTGTTGGGCAGCACTTCCGCTGCTTTGGCCGCCGTCGCTGCTTGCTTGGTTATTACGTAGTGAGAAGTTTTGCATGATGCATATGGAGTTTGTACATGTGTAAGCGTAGTGGATTTTACTCTTGTTGAATATAGTTGAATTCTGAACAGTGAACACATTGCGGGTTTCTCCGTGAGAAGCTAAATGCAACGCTCTACCCGGTGAGAAGATGTATCTCGGTATTGGCAGCTCAGCTTTGCGGGAAAGAGTAATAATTCTCTTTTTTATTCTTGATCGTTTTTACCGTCTTGCGGCATACTGCATGTCCCAAATTGCAGAGTTCCCATTGCGCCAAAGCCCCCGATACGATGAACTGACGAAGCCGCGGTATCAGATCCCCTGTCAGGCTGCACTACAGATTGACTTGTATTGACAAGTAACACACCAACAGTTTCCATGTGTGGCCGTTAAACACAGAAATTTGCACTTTCCAAGCTTCCCATCATTGCTGCAATGCTGACATCTACCGTCATGTTGGCGTTACTCAGCGATGACGCCAGCCACGTAATATCCTCGCCATGGCTCTGAATCCTCTTTCCCTGGAGCTTAAAGGGAATATTGCCAGTCGTACAATAGGCTGGTCTTTCGACAATTTGCGCTATTCTTGTCTGGTTTATGCGCGTCTCAATGGGAAACATGTTCTTGCCTGGGCGAAGGAGCAAGTTGGCAATGGCAACATTTCCGACGGGCTGACCGTCTGCAAAGCCCTGTAGTGTGACGTTGCCCTAACAAAACCTCTTAGCAGCATTCCACATTGCACAGTTCAGAGCCACAGAAACAAAAGGGTGCAATGTCGTAGGTGAGCCAGCATCTTCAACATACCATGTCAAGGGTATAGTAGGATGGGTTTACGATGACGGCTGTGGCGTTGAAGTTTGGCGCGTCTCGATCAAATGAGAGACTTGTATTTTGGAGCTTTGTGCCATTCAGCCGATTGAGTCCATTGAACTCTATGGTCTTGCGAACATTGACCGGGTACTTTTTGCTCATGCCCGCGGGCTTTACGCTTGTCTTTCCATACATGCTGATTCTAAGCGTGTGGTTCTGGAATAGCGCGTGGTTGAACTGTTGCAAAGCATTTTGGTCGGTGATTTCGACAATCTGACTGATATTCACAATCTGGAACTTGTTGGCATTGGTCTTGGGGAACGTGAGAGTCATGAAAGGCTGCGCATTCGGGACATTGGCCAGCGCTAGATTTGCCTCAAAGGAGTCGACTTCTGCCTTGACCTGGCCGTCTGTCTGGATGGTGGAATTGATTTGGATCAGAACCGAATCTGGTTTCGGGTCGAGAATGTTGATGCCTTGGATCTCATAGTTGGCGTCGTCAACCTTTCTCTGGGCAATTACGGGCACAACGACGAAAATTCTGTCCGAAAAGGGGACC